TTTCACTGCTTTACGTGATAATCGGGAGAAATAGCAGATTACGCATCGGAACTGCCTGGGATACAAACGTCAAGCGTGTAACTAAACTCTTCAGCCAATAAGGGCAAAGGTGTGTCGTCACGGAGGCGGTTTCAGTTTGTGCAGCCGGATGAGAGGTCGCAATGCATCTAACCGTAATGCATTGCGTGGCACACGGAAGGAGAGGACGATCGGGGCAGGACAGGGGTAATGTTGGGATAAGATCTTTATCATTTTGGAAGCCATTAAGAAAAAAATGCTCTTCTTGTTTTACCCTGTTCATTTTGTGTTTAAATGCTAAAAAAACCCCAACATATTTAGGTTTAATTTTGGGGGACCGGGAACCAATTAATTGGTTTTCCATTATTTCTTATGGGAAAAATTCGATCAGAACTCGAACTTTTTAGGATTCGATCCGGAGTCCGGAACGGATTAAGTTCGAGAACCGAGGTACCACTGTAATTAACATACAGGGATATTTTACAGAGAGGAGAAAAAAAAATTCTGCTCACCTATTGCATGTTGCATTTGCTGACAAAACCTGTCAAAACGATAAGTCTTAGCTGCTGAACTGAAGCATTTTTTTCCCAATCAAGTGAAACAGGTTTAACATTTTTTTGGTTTTGACATGACTCGTGCACCCTCAGTACAGCTTGTGTTTACAAGGATTAGTCTACCTACCTTAAAAAGTGAATCCAAATTAATGTTCTTTTGACCAGTATCATTTAATGCCTTGATGGTTGGTGTTCTGAGGGAAAAAAGGTAAAATAGTGATGACTGTTTTAAATAACAGCATGACTGAGTGTTTTGAGACTTGGCCTCACCTACGGTCGTCTCCATGTGGTGGAGGATTCCAGTGATCATAGTTGGTCTCTACCCTGAACCACCTGAAGTAGAAAAAAATCACATCACTCTTATGGTTTGTGAGACTATACAGTGCAATAAGTATATTAACCGAGGCTATACAGATGCTCCCCAGGTTACGATGGCCTGTGTTACTGACTTTATTACAGGTATTCCAATTCCATTCTGTTTTTCATTTTCAGTACATTATTCCATAAATTACATGAGATATTCAACACTTAATTATAAAATAATCATTGTGTTAATGGTTTTGCCCATCTGTAGGCTAATGTAAGTGTTCTAAGCATGTTTAAGGTAGGCTAGGCTATGATGTTTGTTATGTTAGGTATACTGTATTAAAATGCATTTTCGCTTTACAATATTTTTGCCTTAATATTTATCAGAACGTAACCCGGGGAGCATATGTAGAAAGAATGAATACTGTGCTAAAGAACATAAACTGAAAGGCACAGGGAACCAATAAGAGAGAGATCCAATATGTGGGAATATTCCTATAAATGTCTCAGGCAGTCAATGAAAATAGTGTTTAAATTACCTTCTGATTGGTGTAAAAGAATGACATCATGTCTGTCAGTGTGCCAGCTCCGCCATGTAAACCTATCCTAACTCCCCAGCATTTGCAGCTGTCCAATACACCCATGGGTTTTTTGACTTGACTTTACTAATTAAGTTAATTAATTGAGCTGGTGGTGAAATTTAAGGAATACATGGAATGGCTGAGGTGCCACTGAAAAGAGGTCTGGAAACCAAAGGAGTGTTCATCTATCTATCCATCAAGTTTCCAGCTATGCAGTAGGTTTTCAGAGAACATAAGAGATTCATTTTATTGTGTTAGTGTCAATTTGCATGTGTTCTAATGTTAAACTGTGTTTTTTCTGAGCAAATATATGCTAACTACCCAGATAAATGTACAGTATATAATTTGGTTTATATAATTTTTTAATCTGAAGGTATATCTGTACCCATGTGGACTGGACAAAGCCAAAATGCTGTTATCTGTACAGAAGGAAACCTTAACTGCTATGTGTTTAAGGAAGGCGGGGGAGGGCACTCACTGTCCATGGGGAGGATCAAGCTCCCACACGTCTGCTGCTCCTGAGCTATTCCTGGTCACCACTGCGCCCTCCCCTGGCTGCACACCGCCTACGATGTAGTAGACAGGGGTGATGATGGGCACCTTGGACAAGCGCTCCAAGGCATCCTGGTAGCTTGCTGCCTCTTCCAGGGTCTGACAGGCACACAGCGAAGGCCCTTTTCATAACTGGTCACCCTCTACCTCAGACCAGTCACAGCTGCAGGTGAACGGTCACTTCAATTCATGCAAATGGGGCTTTCATTAAGGTATCTCCGTCCCCTGTGCCTTTGTTCCCAGTCTGTCTCCCAAACGTAGCAATTCTACAGCACTCCTGTTATGGCACAATGATCGTTGTTATCCCTACAACTTGGCATCTCCTAAATCAAACAATTATTCAGAAACAGAGCCCTGTGAACAAATAAAGAATATGGTAGCTATTGCTAGACCAAGATCTGAACCTAAACATTCCACTAGGGGCTCCTGTGCAGATAATTTAATATCAATTCCACTGGTAAGGTTAAATCAGACTCAAGAGAAACCAAACATAAAAAGCTCATTGTTGAATGTTCACTCTCTTGGAATCGAATCACTTCTTAATATGGATATAGTGCTAGACACTGAATCAGACCTGTGAATTTTAACCATTTTTAGGACTATTAAAAATTGAACTAGAAACTATAAGGCAGGGGTCTCCAACTCCAGTCCTGGAGAGCTACTAACCAGTAGGTTTTCTATCCTACCTGACTTCTGTTGAGCCACAATAATTCTTAGGTAAATACCAGGAGCAGGTGTGGCTCATCAGAAGCCAGGTAGGATAGAAAACCTACTGGATAGTAACTCTCCAGGACCGGAGTTGGACACTTAGTGTTTTTAACATATATATGGATATACTGTAGAGATTGATGCCTTTGGCAAAACTCTGTTATCTCTGCTTGACTCTGTTGGTTAGTACCAGCATGTAACAGGACCCATTCATGTGCACAGTCATCCATCCATTTTCTGTAACCGCTTAATCCCAAATGTGGTCGCGGGGGGGCCTGGAGCCTAACCCAGGAACAATGGGCACAGGCAGGAACCAAACCTGGGCAGTTGCCAACACACTGCACAGCACACAGACACTCACAAGGCCAACTTANTCCATCCATTTTCTGTAACCGCTTAATCCCAAATGTGGTCGCGGGGGGGCCTGGAGCCTAACCCAGGAACAATGGGCGCAGGCCGGAACCAACCCTGGGCAGCCGCCAATACACCACAGGGTACACACACTCACACACACACTCACACACACACTCACACACACACTCACACTAAAACAGGGCCATTTCAGACTTACCAATCAACCTATCCTACACACTTTTGGACTGTGGGAGGAACCTGTAGCCCCCGGTGAAAACCCACGCTAACACAGGGAGAGCGTGCAAACTCCACACAGACAATAGGTCATACAATGGACTTGATTATCACCCACAGAGTTGATATTCATTATGTATCTGTCCTTCTCTGACCATTTTCTAATCACCTTTGCAAGTGAGCCTCCATCTATGACTGATGAAAAAGATTATTGTGATACTGCCCTATTGACCGCAATAGAAATCTCCCTCGCTCTCTATTTAAACTAATTTCTTATCTAACAAATAAGGATTAACCTGTATTGCTGACCAATACCAACCAGTTATACTTGGATACACAAAACACACTTGATAAATCCCAGTCTGGCATCAGTCAAAGACACAGCACTGAAACTGCGTCAACTAGAGTCATAAATGATAAAACAAGAGAAAACGATACTGGCAGTGTGACTGTGCTCATGCTCCTTGACCTGAATGCGACTTTTGACATCGTTGATCATTCTATTCCATTTCATAGACATGAATTTGATGTTGGCTTGTGTGGAATGGTGTTGATATGTTTAAGTCTTAATTAACTAATCAGTATCATGCTCAAGGGACAAATAACAGTACTCAGTGTCAGTGGTCAAATTTTGATTAGTGTTTGGACCTCTTTTATTCTCTCTATAAATTTCCATTAGTAATTGCATAATAACAACACATGATGTTAACTTACATGTGCAACAAGCTGAAGCTGCCAATGTTTGCTCCTGAAGGAAGGGATTCGCCTGAGTTCACCAAAAGTTCACGGTTGGGAATTAAAAAAACCAACTAGAGATGGTCACGCCACCATTATGTTCGGCCGAGGGACCAAACAGTAAAAGAGATGATTGACAAACTTATCATCTAGGGGTGTGGATCAAGGGAGGAAACAACGATGGTGATTAGTTGAGGGAATGATGATGCTTAAGTGACGAGATATTGTTACATGATAAGAAAATGTATAAAAATTAGTGTAAAACAGTATTGGACACACTCCTGTAGGGTGTCCAGCCTTGGCTGTAACCTCGCTGTTGCAATAAAGACTGAATCTGAAGATCTACACAAGCGGCTCCTGACTCCTGATTGGCAGGGGAAGATAAAACCACAACAGCAACAGCATCAGCCACAGTCAAATGCCTGTATTAGGATGAATTTGCGGATGATTACGTCGCCCACGTGGCATGGAATTAATCCTTCTACTGTAATATTCTGGGAAGTTGTGGTTGTGGATTAATTCTGATCGTGTATGGACTAATCATCCTGAAATTCAGATTCATCATCCATGATTCACCCCGAATGTTACTGAACTGCACAAACATGTTATTCTTTTCTGATCACCTGTAAAACCTATTTCTTCACAAATAACTTGTGTCTCATAAGAAGAAGCCAGGATGCTGGACCATTAGATTGGCATGCAGGATGCTTATCTTGGTTTCAGGAGATAGGGGGGGCGGTATACAGCACCTTATATTGCCTTCAGGGGGATAGAGAGGCATTGTGCAAGGACGCCTATTTTACTATGTTATCGCAACCAGCACCACCCGGACAAAAGGCGGAATTTAAGACCATATTGCCTGAGGGGATACATATTGCCTGATTATCTGTATCAGGTGTGTTAAATTTGGGCTGTACCTAAGCTCTGCAGGGTGGTAGCTCTCCAGGAGCAGGATTGGGCAGCCCTGGCTTAAATGAACCCTTCTAGCTTAAGTTAACCCAGCTGAGTGTCACACCAGCGACCACGAGCGACCACGCCCCCCTTCGCTACGCCACGCCTACCTTCATTACTTAAACCCCGCATGACCGTCATTCGATGCGAGGTATTGTAGAATGCAATGTCCAAGCGATTATCTCCCTTGTCTTTGTTTCAGCTCCGATCCGCCCGACTCTCCCTGCTCCCGCTTCCTGCTCTTCCCGATCCGTCCCACTCCCTTCCGACCCAGCCTTGATCTTCCCTCGTGTCCTCTCCTGGTGTCTCCCGTCAGCGTCTTCGAACGGACTTCCCGGTTCTCCGATCACACCACACCCGACCAGAATACGAACACGGATATCCCCTTGGCTTTGGTTTTTCGGACTGGACGGACCCCGGCTTTGACCCTGATTGTACTTTGGACTTCTCTTTCGTTTACCCTGATTAAAGGCTTTCGAACCCTGCCCGAGAATTCTGTCGTGACACTGAGAAATCTTGCTCTGTGGAACACCCCCATTCCCCACAGTCTGTCTGTTATCCCACATATAAAGTACAGCACATATAAACAGATGGTAATACAGTCTTTATCCACAGGGCCCCTATATTCTGGAATGGTTTGCCCGTTCATGAATGGGATTTATTACATTAGTCTTGCTCACCCACAACTTAAAACACAACACACTGTGATTCTGACTATGAGTATAGTTCACACCCTGCATTTATGAAAAGCAGATTCATTTTGGTTATATTCTATAATGTTAGCATGCCTGGGGGTTGGGTAACCAGTCGACTTTGAACCCTCAGAGGTCTTATTTTATTCAATTCCTAAAATTTCAGTTGCTCTATTTTCTTTTGAAACAGCTGTAAAGCACTTTGCTAAAGAAATGACCAAATAAATAAATAAACTGCACGAATACCCACCTCTCTGATGAGCCAGCTGGCTGGTGTGTTTTTCAGTATGATGGCTAAGGTGACATTCTCCAACGAAAACCCATCATCTGTGAACAAAAAGTCATCAAACCACTATACTGATAAACACATGACTCTCCATGTTACATCAAGGGCCAGACGTAGCCTACCGCGTTGATTTCCAGAGATGGTGAATTTATTTGCACTTTGTCCTGTCCACAGGCCAACATAGCCGGCAAAGGAGGTCCCTCTATAGGCCACCTAAAGAAACACATTTATAAGTGATTTTGTTTTGTAAGGCATATCTGTTGCTCACATTTTCTAATCCCTAAAACATTAAACAACACCTAAACCACTAATGTAAAACATAGAATAACAGCAACAAAAGCAAAAACATTCACCCTTAGAAGCTGCCACTGGACCACATACCTTTCCATCTCTGATAAATATAATATCAACTGTGAGATTTCTCAAAATCTCCACAAATGCGAAGTCCATGTTCCTCCCATGGTAGATACGGCCATTTGTGTCCTGTGCGACAATACTCGTGCAAAACCTGAGGCATGGAAGAGGCTGCGATCTTAGGTTCAGTTTTTGTGTTGAGTGGGTTAGACCATACACCTTGAAAACTGTCACCTGTCCGCTAAAGAGCAATATTAGCTTCCATCATAAAACATAAAACATTAAATACATAGTCTGGAGTTGAGCAATAAATGCAGTGGTTCTGCACTGAGTACATACGCTGTGATTTCATAGACAAAGTTCGCGAGGATGATGTCAGTGATGTCAATTCCAGATAGGGAGGCCAGTCCCTGGATTTCTCCTGCATAGTGCTGTGGTATGTAATCTTCCAAGGTTTCTACCACAGGTTTGATGGCTTGATGTACCCATTTTGGGTTACCAACTTGGCTATAACAGGAATAAAAATATACTGGGATCAAGGTTTCCCACTATAAATGAAAGTAAAAGTGAAGGCAGTTCCTTATCTTCCCTCAGTTAATGTTACATTTTACACAGCGACCCAACTTTTTTGGAAACGGGGGTTTATTATCGTCGGTGATCCTCCATCCTCATTCCACAGTTACACCATCGTATAAAATAGTAGGGGCCCCTCTGACAACTCAAATAGACCAGGGACCTCTTAAATGGAACTTTTCAGTCACATCAAAACATTGTTTCACAGGCAGTACAAACAAATTTAGTATTGCGGAAATTTTTGTGATGTGGTTTGTGTACTTACGCAATGATCTGAGGCAGAATATTTCTGAAGTAGCTCACGTCAATCACTTTCATCAACGGTGCCCATCTTTCTTTCGGTGGCTCGTCCAAACTGATATTGACGATCGGTGGCGCAAAGTCTGCATAACACCACGCAGCCAGCGTTAAGGGGATTAAAGCGAGAGAGCACTTCATAGTTTCATTACAATACAAGTCCGCAGATACCTTCGTACAGACAGCAGCGCGGCACTAGTTCCTATTTACAGAAGTCAGTAACAGTACCGCCCCTTAAGGCCACGTGACACAGACACATACTTGAGTGTTTCGCAATACCGAAATGCAACCTGCATCCCAAGAAGAATGTCGTTTGCCAAACTGTTCTGATAAATCTACCTGCTAAAACTCTTTTCTGCCATCTAATTTGAGAAATTTCTACTTGTACTACTAATTGAACTCTCAAGTCCACAGACGGGGCGTGCTTTGAACAGCTCACTCACTTACTTTTTCCAGAACACCAGCTCTATGTGGCCTATAACCGTGTATCAATATTGCTGTTGGATAAATTGCAATAACTCTTTCATTTTTAAGCCAATCAACATCAAACCAAATTCAGTATGTTCCTCTGGGCCTCTCTCATCTTTCACACCCTTTCAGCAAAGTTTCACACTCAACTATTTTGCTGAACAACATTTGTATGTGTCCATATAACTGTTTATGACATTATGAAATATGGGTGTTGTTTTGTATTAAATAACTACAGAAAATATTGCTTATTCTTTATTTCCAAGGAAAGTAAAACTGAATGAGTAAATTAATATTCATACACAGTTTCTTAATTCATATTGCTGGAGAATGTGGAGCTAACTTAAAGTGTGAAATATTTCCCTCGTTTAACTTCACATGTGGAGCCTAATCTGAAAAGAATTGCCGTCATGATCCCGAAGATATTGCAGTTTAGATGTCAGTAAATGTGGCGAATATCGAACATAAAACCAACTTCACAGCGGTCTGAAACCGCGAGTGTCAGGACAGATGCGTGAGCTGGCAAACCTCTGTTTACCCATTTGTTTGGAGTTAAATTAGGCTGCTACCTCGAAACAAATTGCAACGATTTGCATGATTAATATATTAAATAGATGTTATATTGTTGTAGTGTCTATCCCGAGGTGTATACAGTGAGTTTAGGGGAATTTGGGGGTCCTTCTTCTCAGTGGTCCAAAATGAAGATTGTGGTGCTGGGAGCAACATGACAAACTGGGCATTTACTGGTCAGCCAGGCGCTCCCGCATGATCACGTGATAACTGCCATCGTAAGATATCCTGGCAAAATGATAACCATCCACGAAAATCTCAAGGTAATCTTTATCAGTAAAGGTATTCTAAATGTACGGTAGGTAGAGAAGTTAAATGATTTGTATTGCTGTTTGTTTATACTCAGTCAAGTGGAATCACTGGACAAATCTGAAGCCAGAAGAGGACTGAGTGTTTGCTTTGATAAACATGGTACATTTAAAGTTTTTTGACACATCACCAGGTGGTATAGGGTGACATATTTTCAGAGAACAATCTCAAGTTTCATTTTACAGTTGTTATTTCCTGTCTGGGCTTGTCACCATCCTGGTGGTTCGGAGTAACCGGCTACACCACCTCCATGAAGGCAGTAGACAGCGCAATGCACGAGGTCATGGTGAACCGGCCCATTTCTATGACTTCCTGGTAACAAAGGGAAAACCCTGTCAACAATTCCCTGAAAGTCATTAACTTGAACGGCATGTTAATGTGCAGATACGTCTGCTTCTACTTTAAAAGCGGAGTCGGGCACTGAGTCACCCTTCCTCATCCATTTCTTGCTGCTGCCCATAATTAGAAGTGTCTTGATGAACATGTATGAGATGGAGCAATATCTGAAGATGGAGTACATCAACTGGACCGTGGTCAGACTCGCTGGGCTGCGGAATGAGTCTGCCACAAGTAGTGTTGTGGTTTTATCTTCCCCCGCCAATCAGGAGTCAGGAGCCGCTTGTGTAGATCTTCAGATTCAGTCTTTATTGCAACAGCGAGGTTACAGCCAAGACTGGACACCCTGCAGGAGTGTGTCCAATACTGTTTTACACTAATTTTTATACATTTTCTTATCATGTAACAATATCTCGTCACTTAAGCATCATCATTCCCTCAACCAATCACCATCGTTGTTTCCTCCCTTGATCCACACCCCTAGATGATAAGTTTATCAATCATCTCTTTTACTGTTTGGTCCCTCGGCTGAACATAATTGTAGAGTGACCATCTCCACTTGATTTTTAAAAAATGCTCAGCCGTGAACTTCTGGTGAACTTCAGTAGTAAACCTTGGCAGCTTCAGCCTGTTGCACATTGACTAACTAGAGGGTTGATAATATATTTTCCTTTAACATAGTGATAAAGTATACACTAATAAAAGTGGATATTCATAGATTCAGGGCTAACAAAGTAGCTAACAAAAACTCTTAGGCTAATAGAAGGTGCAAATACATAATCAATTGATTACATTGTGTTGATTACATTATAATGTTTACATTGTAATGATTACATCATGGATATTTGGCATACTTTTTAATAATAGCATAATACTTATATTCTACGTTATATAGTGCTAAATATTATTCCATAGTAGGACAGCACAAATGGCAGATTTCCGCATTTTAAACTGCTTGTGGACAAAATTCAATGGATCATACATTTACATTTATACATTTACAGCATTTGGCAGACGCCCTTAGCCAGAGCGACTTACATAAGTGCTTTAAGACTCTACAATGAATTTTTCCCGATACTAGCTCAATAAAACCAAGGCTATGAATACCATCGATCTAATACTCTGTTTATAAAAGGAAAAAACAGAGCATAATGCCAGAAGTGTTAATTCAGGTATTTCTGGAAAAGGTGTGTTTTAAGTCGTCTTTTGAAGACATTCAGTGACTCAGCTGTTCGGACGTCTAGGGGGAGTTCATTCCACCAACTTGGTGCCAGAGCAGAGAAGAGCCGAGAGGTGTGTCTTCCTTGTGCCTTGAGGGGTGGTGGGACCAGTCGAGTTGTGCTGGAGGATCGGCGAGATCGTGGTGCAGTGCGGGGTGTGATGAGGTCTTTTAGGTAGGATGGAGCCAGATCATTTTTGGCTTTGTATGCGAGCATCAGTGTTTTGAATCTGATGCGGGCAGCCACAGGAAGCCAGTGTAGGGAGCGCAGCAAAGGAGTGGTGTGGGAGAACTTGGGAAGGTTGAAAACAATCATAAGATATCATACAGTCATCCTGGCCAGGATATTAGGGGTGGGGATGGTGGCTAGAGCAGGCAGCATTGTACACAAGGAGGGAGTACACCCTGGGCATCACGGGAGACATACATACACACAGTCAGAGGTGGAGATTGTCAGGTGCAGAGAAGTTCAAATCCAGACCAAGATTTAGTTTCAACCAACCAGTTGAGTATAAAGATCTTGGCCTGGATTTGTACTCTCTGGACCTGAAATCTCCACCTCTGCACACAGTCACATGCCATGGCAATATAAAGATGCTACTTAGCATAGCTGCATGTCATTGTATTATATGAGGAGACTGGAGTACCCAGAAGAAACCTGTATGATACAGGAAGAATAAGCAAACTCCACACACATAGCAGGGTGACTGGGATTCAAAGCCTCAAGCCTTTAGCTACTATACCATCTGCTATAACATACATCAATTACCACATTTCTCAGGGAGCCCATAATTAATCTTCTAAAATTGCATACCCTGTCCCTTATTCAGTATGTATTGTCAGCCCTCTATCTGCGGGTTCCACATACGCGGATGCAACAACCTGAGATCAAAAATGATCCAGAAATCTGGAATTTGCCACCTGCCGAGCACTACTCTGAATCCATGCAAATGAAGTGATGTGTAGTTTTCGGTGTTGGTGAGTTTTAACACTTTGTGTGTTTGTTTGTGTGGATTATGTTTATATGACATTGTGCAGCCCAAATGTCCGCCACAATGTAATAAACACCTATTATTTTGACATGGTGGGGAACATTTTTCAAAAATTCCAAAAGTCTCGTATTTAGTTTGGTTACTTATGGTTAAGGATAGGGCTGGGTAGGGGTTAAGGTTGCCATGTTGGGATTAGAGTTTTCCCACATAGAAATGAATAGAATGTCCCCAGAAATACATATTTACAAACCTGTGTGTGTGTGTATTTGTGTGTGACAGAGAGAGAAAGAGAGAGAGACTGAATTTATATTTTCCCTGTTTATAATTATATTTTCTTTGTGTACAATGATGGTTTTACTGGCCACACTCTTTTCCTTGTCGTTATTCCCTAAACAGTACAATATAACAACTATTTACATAGCATTTAGTATGTATTAGGCATGATAAATATTCTAGGGATGATTTAAAGTATGCGGAAGGATGTGTGTATGTTACATGTAAATACTATGCTGTTTTATATAAGGGACTTTGAAATTATTGTTTTCCGCGGAGGGTCTTGGAACCAGTCCCCCGGTTATGGTGGGCCGACTGTATTTGCGTTTGTCTGTGATGCATGTAAATAACTTCATTGCCACTAGGGGTCTCCAACTCACAACACACGGCAGTGATCTGAGTTCTATGGCGGTAATTACATTTGAAGACTTACAAAGGACACATTAGATGAATCATATTGGGAGTACAGCATAAGCTCTAGTTAATAAAAAAGACACATTACAGGGCAGCCAAAAAGTTGCGTCCTTCGTTACTTATCATTGAGTTTGGTCTGCTTTTATACCAGATGTAACAAGGAGTGGCTTGAGAATCCAACCTTTACTTGAGTGGAAAGCTGGTCAAAATTTTCATTTTGTGTGATTGGTCAGTCTGAGTACTATTCTGACCAATCATCTGCAAGGATTATGTAGCGGCTCTGTGGGTATCACCTTCATGCATTTACAGATGTGGGTTCAATGTGTGTGTTTGGAATGTACACATTCCCCTTTGTTCACTTGTGCAGTCCAAAAATGAGCAGTTTAGGTGCACTGGTCTACTTAAATTTTCCTCAGTGTGTGCCCAGTGCTGAGCTAGCATCTTATCCAGGTCTGTGGCCTAGGCTTTTGTGGATTTATAGCATACTGTGTGTACCATACATAATCAATTCACAGCACACTCACGGCTGATTGATTCCGTGAAAGATTTCAGTGGGCATTTCAGCATTTCAGTCAGACCTCTATAGCTGCACTGTAATCCAGTGAAGGCAGGGTACTGTGTTAGAAATAGCAGTCACACCCACCAAAATCAC